GACTGAAGGAACTTTGTAGTCATAAGTGGAAGTAAGTGCAGGCGGGGATAGGGAAGCAAGAAATAACCACACTTCAGGTTCTATATTTGTAGGGCTACTTACCTTCCCAGCACATAAGCTTTGGGCAATAATCTAATAGCTTTACTCTTTGTTTGAAACATTTTATTCTCCTGTAGGGATGGAGCCAAGGCTCCTGTCAAATGATGGAGTCTCTGTAACTGCCCCCTCCAGCATGTGTAAAAAGGTCTCCTTGCAAGGGGTCTGTGTGGGTTGGGTGGGCCCAGGAACCTCAGCCCTTAGCTTTGTGTCTTTGTTTTTTTCTTGGGTAGTTACTGGTAAAAGCATTGCTAGAAGTCCCCAGCCAAACAAAGCTTCTTCTGTGGTCTCCATACCCTTGGTAAGTTCCCTCCTTTATTCTTCAGTACTGAGTCCTGAGATGCCCTCCAGGACCCCATCTTTATGTCTCCCCATTCGTAGAGAGGGGACTATGTGATCACTTGCCTTTCCCTGTGATACAGGCGGGTCCTACCATCTGGAAAGTTCTCTAAGTCACCATATGGTGGTTCTGCTAAGTTCTAAAGCATTTGCAGAACTGAAAGAACACCATGAGAACATCTGTTTAGCCAAGGCGATACTGTTAGCTTTTGTCTTTTTATGATCAGAAACCATGGAAACACCTTCGGTAGTGAAGAGACTGGAGCTGTAATTACAAAATGGATTCCAGTCACCCTACGTGGGTTTGGAAACATAGAAAAACAACATTTCAGAGAAATAATGGTTAAGATAAAGCAAACAAACAGAAGCCTCAGAACAGAAATCCAGCACCATCACTAAATCCCAGTAGGATCCTGAGACGGCAGACCTGTCAGTGACTCACAAGGGGCCAGGGGCAGTAACTGAAATATGAAGACAAGGCCATAGGGTCTCCAGCTGCAGCTGTGCTGTTTGGGTTCCATGCAGACGCAGAGCAAGCTTCCACAAATGGCAAAGGAGCGGCTCACACAGCGTTCTTGCCTTTTTGCCATCTAGAAACTTTGGGAGCAATGGAGGTGAGGGATACAGTCAAAGTGACACCCCGCAGGGATTGTCTGGTTTTACTCCCTCTAGGATACAATTGTAGTTTGTGGTTTTTTTTCAGGAACTTATCATCACTTCTTTAAGATACAACCCATGGCAACATTTTTCTTTCCCAAGCCAGTTTTTCCCTCTGCATTTCCCACCCTGTTGCTATACTCTACCCATGTCCCAGCCACCCACCCACTCACCCACTCACCCTTCATTTTGCAAACTAGTTTCTGGGGTTACAAAGACAAGCAAAAGAGCTAACACTTGTTTTCATGGAGCTTGTGGTATAAAATAGGAAAACACCTGGGCAGCTGTGGTGCACTCAGAAACCTAGGTAGAAGGATCCTCAAACTCGAGGTCAGCTTGAACTACGTAGTGAGTTCTATCCCTGCCTAGGCTACAGAGTGAGCCTCTGTCGCAAAAATAATGTGGTGTGGTGAGGTGGGGGAATACAAGCAGTCCCACATAAGCACAAATGTAAACTTGTCAAGTAAAATAAGTAAGGTGACATGATGCTGTAAAAGATGAGACAATAGAATCTAATGCTATTCTCTTCAGTATGAAGCCCACAACCTGTTTTAGCTACGGTCTCATGCTTGGGGAAACATGACAGTCTGAAATAAAGTCCCTTTTAATTTTGTTATTCTTGGACCCTGCATTCCAGATGCATTTATGCTATCAAAACTCAGAGAGAGAAGTGCAAGGCCCAGGTACCCACCTTGCCTGCAGCTGACTGACAAGTCTTGCGGGGGGGGGGGAAGACAGAATAAATCAATTTTAAAAATCCAAACTTGGGTGTTTTGTTCCCAGGAAGCCCAGGAGTGCCAGGAGCAGCTGGCTCCCACAGCGTTTCTTGCCTTTTGCCATGTGGGAGCTTTGGGAAATGTGAAGGTTGGGGATGCTTAGATTTGTTTGAAAAAATTCTTGTGGTGTATGGTAATGTAATCTTTAATTTAGAAGAGAGGAAAATAGGCTCAAAAAAGTGACAGTTGTGACTTTTTGCTGACAAACACTCTGGCAAGAGACCCCAACTCAGTTTTCCTTTTCTATTTCCCAACAAAGTAGGTAACGATTTGAAGTTCTTCCTACATGTCCTGACTCAAGAAAATGGCTCAAACTGAACACGTGACTGAAGATTTCTTTAATTTAGTTCCCAAATAAAGTGATGTGGTTACAGTTGACTCTCCATGACAGTTAGCCTGCACCTCAGAGACTGATTCTGACCTTTCTGGATTTCTAAAGTACTCTCTGACCTTGAAGCAATCTTTTGTGGCAAGGTGACAACAGTGGTGTCAGAAGAGCCATGACAGACCACGCCAAGCAAGGCTGCCATTGAATAACATCTCCAGACCTTAGCATTAGATTGGCTGGAGTGAAGAAGGGGTACAGAATCTTGGCCAAGGGGAAATGATTTGTATTTTATTTATCAGCCAATAAATATCTGAATAGTGTTGAAAGAGTCCTCAAGTATGACTAACTTCTCCTAGGCCATCACTGGAAACACGTTTCTTGAAATGTTCCTAAAAAGCATAACATTCCAGTACATCTCTTAATTGATATTAAAAATGCTGTTTTAGCCAAAAATAGGATTGAATCTGTGGTTCTCGTAGTCTCTTGGTGAAAGGATCATGGCCCCATCTCCAATGGAAACCTGTCACCAGAGTAAGTGGATGTTGCATCTGACCAATGTGCAACTAAGGGATGACAAGTGACAAATGCATACAAATCAGGAAGCGTAAGGCAGGAATGAGGCATCCTCATCCGTGGGAACCAATAGAGTTACATCACTGTTGGTGCAGGATTACTACTGCCTTATATGCTTCCCTGAAACCTGCAACCCTCTCCCCATGTGGTGTCATTCCCACTGTTTCAACATGGCTTTTGCTGCCCTCGTAAGAGCCCTGGTATTCTGTGGGCAAAGTGTAGACTCATGTGTACACTTGCACGTATGGAGGCTGAAGGATAACCTCAGATGTCACTCCTCAGGGGCTGCCCACCGTGTATGAAACAGGGTCTCTCGTTGGTCTGGAGCTTGCTCATTAAGCTAGGCTAGATAAACAATGAGACCCAGGTATTGTCCAGTGTCTGCCTCTCCAGGGTTAGGGTTATAAGCATGCCCCATGTTTTCACATGAGTTCTCGGGATCAAAGTCAGGTTCTTGTTACTGTGAGGCATTTTCCTAGCTCCAGAAGAACACAGTGTAATATGCCATGGTTCCTTCTGATAGGGTGTAGGTCCAGCCTTAGAATCCTCAAGTGGTCCCCTGGTTTGCACAAGGTTGGAGTGGAGATTGGGTGTTCACCAGATTCTCTATATATCTTGTCAGGTTAGATTGTAGCTCTTGCAAAGCCTTAGATGAGCATAATTCAGGCTCTGCCCTGACCCCTTTATTTGGGAGGGACTCCAAGCTCAGCAGTCCGAGGGAAATGGTAAGGCTATGGATATCATACCTGCATATTTCCTTGTAGCTTTTCTCCTTTTGAGTCTCAAACACCAAAAACAAAACAAAACAAAACAAAACTTATCCACCTGCTCCTGACCAATCCCAGTCTTGTCCAGTGGCTATGTATTGAATTTATTCAACTTACCAGGGACTAAACTCTTAAAGAAAACTGTTTGTTTACCAGCAGCTAATAATTGTCAGTGGCTCTTCAGCAAGGAGTAGGATTGTGTGCCCAACTCACCTCTCCATGTTACGACTTGCACAGGTCTTAAGAATTCTGTCACAGGTTGGAGAGATAGCTCAGTGGTTAAGAGCTTTGGCTGTTCTTCCAGAGGACCTGAGTTCAACTCCCAGCACCCACATGGTAGCTCACAACCATCTACAACCGGATCTGATGCCCTCTTCTGGTATGCAGTTATACATGCAGGTAGAATACTGTATACATAAAATAAATAAATCTTAAGAATACTTTCACAAAAGCTGAGTGCATATTTAGTGTGCGTGCGTGCGTGTGTGTGTGTGTGTGTGTGTGTGTGTGTGTGTGTGTGTATGTGTATGTGTGTGTGTGTGTGTTTGTATACTGGCATGTACACACACCACAGAGTAAATGTGAAGGTTAGATGACAACTTTCAGGAGTCAGTTCTCTGTGTTCACCATGTAAGTCCCAGGGATTGAATTCAAGTTGTCAGATTAGGTGGCAAATGCCCTTATCTACCTCACCTGCCCTCATGTTTATTTTATAATTTTTCTTCTTATTTAGTACTTACATTTCAGAATATGCTTGCCCAATTAAAAAGAATCTTCCTGTTATTTTTAATGGGACAGTTTATATGAGTGTCTCTTTGTTTTGAGAGTAAATGAACATGTTTAATCTTTACCTTTGTCTCATAACCAAGGTTGTCACACACATCTCTAATGTTACACTGAGGAGACTGAAACCCACATTTGACTAGTGTTCTATACAATATGGACTTTTTTTTAGGTTTTTTGAGACAGGGTTTCTCTGACAATATGGACTTTGTGTTGGCTTAGAACTCTGGTCTTGACTTGTGGAGAAGATGATGGGACACAGTGATAACTGATGGAGAAAGGGCCAACACTGGAGGAGGGTTTGCCATTATTTGAAAATCTTAGACTGTTCCTTAGGGTTGGTTCCTTCCTGGTTATCATCAGTGAGTTTCTTTATCTGGAACTCTGTCCCCTTTTGGAAAGTTCAGGGGAGCTGCTCAAGGGGCTGCTACTGGCAATGCACCAGCAGCCTTTTCTCTGGTGAAGAAAGTAATTAACCATTTTGTTGTTGTTGTTGTTTGTTTTTCAAGACAGGGTTTCTCTGTGGCTTTGGAGGCTGTCCTGGAACTAGCTCTTGTAGACCAGGCTGCCTCTGCCTCCCGAGTGCTGGAATTAAAGGCGTGTGCCACCACCACCCGGTCTTAACCATTGGTTTTTAAAACAAATGACAGCACTAACAGATCAGGCCTACACACCTTTGACTGCAGTTGTGCACAGGTTGTGCTAAGTTTGCGGGAAACAAACAACAAAAACAAGCATACAAAACAAAGCCAGAAAGCAACCTGTAGCTGGAACTAAGGGGAGGTCCTGCATTCTGCCTCATTGGAGAGGCAGGCATGGGCCTGACACTTTAATCTGAGAATAGACCGTGGGGTCCAAGTCTGTGGAGCGGTTTCCAGTCAAGTCACTGCTGTTTCCTTCTGAGGGCTTGAAAGTCATGCTGGCATAGGTAAGTGACTCCTTTGAGACAGATGACAGCTTCTGAGGAGAAAGAGGAGGAAGAGTGAATTTAATTTGCAATAAGAGGTGTCTCTTTAAAAGTGTCTTGAAAACTTCCAAAAGTGGGGACCCAAAGAGAGCAGAAGAACTCATACGAGAGTCACTTGTCCAGAGCCAGAAAGTGACACCAGTATTCCAGCCAGTAACCCAGTATGAAGAGGACACAAACTAAACCAACTCCCCCCAAATAATTTTATGCCACTTTCATCACACCCAGTCCTCCTCTTACAGCCCTAAAACAACAGCATGGGCTTACTTACCTTGATGGGAGGCTCTGAAAGAGGGTCCTGGGCCTGGGCCTGGGCCTTGGAGTAACCTGCAGCAGATGCCAGGAAGAAGAGGATTGTCCTCTTACCATGGGGTCTGAAGGAGTGGGGAGCCTCTTCCTTCAACTTTGGGTCAAAGATAGTAGGTAGGGGTAGGGGTGTAGCGGGAGAGCAGTAAGGCCAAGAAGGGAAGGGCCTCGAAGTGGATCTGTGGAGAGGGTGGGCTGAGCAGAGCAAGCCTTCCCTCCACTTCCCCATCACTCAGTGAAAGCAAGAAAAGTCTAACAGAGACCACTCACTTTTTCTGCAGCTCCTGACGATAATGAAGATAAGGGCCACAAGTAGCAGCGTCAGCAGAACCCCGGCAAAAAAGGCCAAAATGAAATGTTCCTGTCTGTTTGGCAGAGAAAGGAAGTAGATGAACCACTGGCAGGGGCCTCTTGGAATTTTTCCTGGAAGCCAAGCTTAGCTTTCTTACTTAGGCTCTCATATGGGCTGATGGACTTGCTCCCACCCACTGCGTGGGAAGAGACACTTTGCTTCTGGGTTCCAGAGGCATTTGAGACTCCCCCAATCCTGTCCTCATCACTCTGCACCTCAACGCTGTAAGTTGAGGTGACTCATGATCTCTCACATCTTGGGCAATGCTGAGTTCATGCTGCTTACAATCAGCACGTGGAAAGCTGAGGCAGGAAGATTGCGGCAAGTTGGAGGCCAACCTGGACTACATTGTGAGACATGCTCAATCCCCCCCCCCCCCCCCCGCAAACAAAACCAAAGAGCAGAACTATACTCCTAAGATCAAACACTTAGTTCTTTCACTGCTAACTGGTCTCTTCTCCCACTCAGATTGCCCTTCCTAAGTCCCCAAGACAAAATGGTCAACAAAAATTCCAGTGCCACATGTCTTAGATAAAATGTGTTCCTTTACTTAGGACTGGAGAAACAGGGTGCAGAGCTGGTCACTGGGGCTGCCGTGGAGACTGTGCCTGCAGAGAACATGAGAGGGATCAGTTTTGGGGGATCAGTGTCCCTGCTCTTTCCCTGCCATCCCTCCAGGATAAGACAGCAAGTTTCCCCACTACCCATGGGGACTCACAAATTGGCTACAACTCTGTAGGGGGGAGAACAGGGGGTCTTTTTTTGCCAGTGCTGGGCAACTGAACCCAGGACAAGCCCTCCATCACTGAGATATACCCTGTCTGACTGAGACCTTTAAAGTAGAGCTATACTTGAACTGGTATACAAACTAAAGAAGCAGGGGCTAGTGTTGAAGTTCCGTGTCCCTTATGCAAACAAAATAAATATTCTGTGTTTCCTTCAGGGCATAGTGGGAAGTCCTGGCAAGATGTGGGTCCTTTGACCTCAGTAGGTACTTCCCAAACTCTATGACACCTGCCCCCCAAGTGGTGTATGTGTGTGTGTGTCTTTTCCAGGGCCTAACCCACAGAGAGGGGAACAAGAAACATGACTAGATTTTCACTAGCTGATCTACTCAGTTTGGAGGGCCAGTAAGGTCTTTCTGGTTCCTTTTTCTAGTCCTTGGGGGACACTGGTTTCTGTATTATGATAAACTTGAATTCTTCTGGCTCAGAAATGCTCTAGGTAACACTGTCTCCCATGGGGCTTTCAACACAATTCTTTCTTTTGCCAATTCACTGTAAGTGCCAAGGGAAGTGATACCTTCTGTCCCGAACTCACTGATTTGGGGTTTAGATGTAGAGGTAATAGATCCCATGCTGTCTTCTCCTGAGAATAAAACAGGTACTCTTTAGCTTGGTGCGGAGGCTGGGCACGGCAGGGCATTCACACTGGGCTGGAGCTCGGGAAGGGCTAATCCCACCATGGAGGTGCAGTGGTGCGTCTTTGGTGCTTTGTTCACCTGGACATGTCCACCGGCCAGAGAAGCTACATCTGAGCCCTTCAGACTAGCATCACTCTCTGTGCTTTATATGCAGCAGCTGGGTGTTGTGGAATATGTCTCTGAGGAGAGGATAGTAGGGGAGGTGGTAGGAGGAGGATCAAGAGTTCAAAGTCAACCTTGGTTATGCAGTAAATGCCAAGTTAACCCAGGTAACATCAGACACCCAATCATAAACAAAAGTAAGGGGCTGGAGAGATGATGGATCAGTAGTTAAGAGCACTTGGCGCTCTTCTAGAGGACAAGGGTCCAGTTCACAGCTGTAACTCCAGTTCCAGGGGATCTGACACATCTTCTGGCCTGCACCAGTACTGCATGCTTATACATAAAAATAAATAAATAAATACAATAAATTAAAATAAGAAGAAAACTGCTAGCTGTTAGGTACATAAGACCCAGTCTCAATCAATCAATCAATCAATCAATCAATCAATCAATCAATCAATCAAAAATTCAGCACTTTGGCGGCCACCAACCCAGTACCACTGTGTGACTTTGGCACACCTGGTGATTCCTTCATTGTAACACAGAATGACATATGGTCTTCTTTAATCTTTGAGATATATGGTGGCTTTTCAGACATGCATGCATGTCCTTGAACAGTCTCTAGGAATTATTGAAATGAATGCAAAGATGAGGTTGGAGAGATGGCTTAGTGGTTAAGACCATTTGCTGCTGCCCTTGAAGAGGACCTAGGTATGATTCCCAGCACTCACAAGGCAACTCACAACCATCTGTAACTAATTCCAAGCGATCAGACGCCCTCTTCTGGCCTCTGTGGGCAACAAACAAACATGTGGTATACAATGTTACATCTAGTCAAAACTCAGACTATAAAGCATCTAATGGCAGGAAAGTATTCCTAGAGCTCATTGCTAGCTGAGTGAATCCCTTTTAGCCATATATCACAAGTTTTATTAAAGCTGCCTGGAACACTGCTTCCCATACAAGGCCAGATCTCTTTTTTGCTCAGCATTTTATGTTCATTCTTACACATTTCTCAAATCCCGTAGAACATTTTTTTAGTGGTGCTAGCCCTTTCTGCTACAGTACTCCCCCATTTGTGGGAGATACTTTGCAAGATCTTGTGTAGATGTCAAAGACCAAGGACAGTCCCAAAACCTGTACAGTACAGACCATGCTTTTTGTTAGGCTTGCTGTCTTAGTTAGGGTTACTATTGCTTTGACAAAATACCACCACCCAAAAGCATGTTGGAGAGAAAAGATTTTATTTAGTTTACACTTCCACATTGCTGTTCATCACTGAAGGAAATCAGGACAGGAACTCAAACAGGGCAGGAACCTGGAGGCAGGAGCTGATGCAGAAGCCATGCTTACTGGCTTGCTCTCCAGGGCTTGCTCAATCTACCTTCTTATAGAACTTAGGATCAATAGCCCAGAGATGGCACCATTCACCATGGGCTGGGCCCTCCCCAACTGGTCCTAAATGAGAAACTGCCTTACAGCTAGATCTCATGGAGGCATTCTGTCTACCGAGGCTCCTTCCTCTCTGATGACTCTAGCTTGTGTCAAGTTGACACACACACTTAGCAAGTGCACATGCCATGCCTGTGAAGTTTTTAGAGAGTATTACAGAGAGGGATTGGCTATAAAACATAGTCATCACAGCAGTATATCATGATAAAATCTATTTAAAACAAAGGGTTGTTTGCTTATGGAAATTTCCCGTTCATATTTTCAAATCATAGTTGACCAGAAAGAACTGAAATTGTCACAAGCAAACCCATGTGAGAGCATGCTATTGAGCACAGATAGGCTTTCTTGACAATTCCCTATTTGTGCAAATGTTTGCCAATGTGGTTAATAACTAACAGTTAATCAGGTGCTTTTATGTACAAAATTTTAGTTACAAACTTGGTTATTTTTTTGGTGGCCATAATTTTAATACATATTTAGGCAACCCCACAATAAAAAATGGGGGGTGTCTCTCCAATTTCCGCTGAATTGTAAGGTAATTTACTTAGACAGAAAATGCCATAAATGGTTTACATGTTTTAATCCATGAGCTCTTATAAGTGATTGTTTTCAATCCTTAGATATGAGGGGAAGACTTTGAGAAGGATTCCTGTCCCGAAGTGTCATTAAAACAGTAGTAAGGCAACGTTATAATGTACCTTACCATTCAGCAAGCATTTTCATATCTGTCACTGTCAGAGAAAAAGGAAAGTACTGACAAGAAAATGTATGACAAGTTTGACGATGAAAACAGGAAAGCCATGGTCCAAGCAAAATCAGCAGGAATAATGGTTTTTCTATCAGTCTTTGGTTCTTTTTGAAATTTATGTTGGCCATGCTTTTAAGTTCAGAACTTGGAAGGCAGAGACAAGTGGATGTTTGTGAGTTCAAGGTCAGCATGGTCTACATAGTAAGTTACAGGACAGTCGGGACTGTGTAGTGAGACTCTGTCTCAAAATAAAATAAAATAAGTCAATGGTATTCATTTCAGAACTTCATGAAGTATTAGTATATCTTATTGTATTTTTACTATACTTTCTATTATTCTTCTATTTTAACTTTTATAAATATGTATTTTTATAATATTGAAATGTATTCTTCCTGAGGATTTCCACTAGGTCTTACATTCAGAGCTACTGATGGCCTTCCTCTTTTACAGCAGTGGTTCTATATGAACAGGCAATCCAAATAAATATTATCACATAAAAAAAAACTTAGGCCAGAATGGATGGAACTAGAAGAAACCATTCTGAGTGAGGGAACCACAAAAAGACAAACATGGTATGTAAGCACTCATATATGGATTTAGACATGGAGTAAAGGATTACCAGTCTGCAATCCACACCGCCAGAGAGGCTGGGAAACTGGGAGGACCCTAAGAGAGACATACATGGTCCTCTGGAGAAGAGAAAGGCACAAGATCTCCTGAGTGGACTGGGAGCATGGCGGGGGGGGGGGTGAGAAGGAGGTAGAAGGAAGAGGAGGTGAAGAAGAGTGGAGAGGAGGACATGGGGGAGCAGGAAGATTGGGTGCTGGAAATAGAGGAGAGCAAGGAAAGAGATACCATAATAGAGGGAGCCATTATAGGTTTAAAGAGAAATCTGGCACTAGGGAAATGTCCAGATGACACCAACTAACAATCTAAGTAATAGTGGAGAGGCTGCCTTAAACGCCCTTCCCCAATAATGAGATTGATGACTACCTTATACACCATCCTAGAGCCTTCATCCAGTAGCCGATGGAAGCAGAAGCAGACACCCACAACTAAACACTGAGCTGAACTGGAGTCCAGTTGCAGAGAGGGAGGAGTGATGAGCAAAGGGGTCAAGACCAGGCTGGAGAAACCCACAAAGACAGCTGACCTGAACAAGAGGGAGCTCATGGAACCCAGACTGATAGCTAGGAAACCAGCATAGGACCGACCCAGACCCCCTGAACATGGATGTAGGTTGGGAGGCCTGGACAATCTATGGGGCCTCTGGCAGTGGATCAGTATTTATCCCTAGTGTACGAATGGACGTTGGGAGCCCACTCCACATACAGGGGATACTCTCAGCCTAGACACACGGGGGAGGGCCTAGGCCCTGCTCCAAATGATATGACAGACTTTGAAGATCCCCCATGGAAGACCTCACCCTTCCTGGGAAGCAGAAAGGGGATGGGATAGGTGGCCAATGGGGGGCAAGGGAGGAGGGGAGAGAGAGAACTGGGATTGACATGTAAAACAAGCTTGTTCCTAATTTAAATAAAAAAGTAAAAAAAAACCACTATCAGAGCTACAAAACAAAAAACAAAACAAACAAACAAACAAAAAAACTTAGGCTACCCTACCCTCACAGACTAAATCATCTCACAACACCACAGAGAAACAGCTTCTTACAAATCCAGGTGACAAAAACAACAATCCAGTCAGGGGTGGTAGCTCACACTAATCCCAGAACTTCAAAGGCTGAGGCAGGAGAATTGCCATGAGGTCAAGGCTAGTCTGGATTACACAGGACCTGTCTGAAAAGTCCAAAACAAGCCTAGAATAGTGGGTTCACATCTTTAATGCCAGCATTTGGCAGAGGCAGGCAGGTCTAGGATGGCCTGAGTTCTAGGGCAGTCAGGGCTACATAGTGTGACTCTGTCTTAAAACAGCAGCAAAAACAACCCACCAAAGTAAGGGCCAACGAGATGGCTCAGCAAATAAAGGCACATGCCTCACAACTCTGGAAACTCAAATTCAATTCCTAGATCCCATGTAAAGGTGAAAGAAAAGAACTTACTTAAAGTTGTCCTTGATACACACACACACACACACACACACACACACACACACACACATTTTTAATTCCAAAAGAAAATAACAATAACCCAGACATGTGACAGAAGCATAAAGTTGAATCAGAAACAATTTTCTTGGCAGTTTGATCTGGCACAAGAGACTTACCTACACGACCTGTGCCACACAGTCATTCAAATTCAATCCTTCTCCTACCAAATAAGAAAAACACATCAGAAACCACCAAATACACATTTAAAATGTCCTTTCATGAGCAGTTACTTGGTCTGGATTAGAAGGGTCTTTAATTTACCTTTCCAGAAAAACTCCAGTCATAAGATGCAGCTGTCAAAGATGAAACTTTTTACTTGCTTCTCTTCCTAGTTTTCTTTTTCAGAAATGGTGAAACAAAGTTTACTCCCACTGCTACTGTCACCATCAAGCTGTGTCGCAAAGATATGTTTAAGCTCCATGCCACAGACTTCCTCTTTGAAGCCGATGATATTTTTTTCCATTCTTTGGCTTCTCTCTCTTTAAAATGGGTCTCTTCCCCTCAGGAAGGCGGCGGCGGACCCGAGAGCGGGGGAGCCGCGGCGGGGCGGTAGCGAGCGCTGGAATCGGCCCCCAGGCAGACGCGGCCGCGCGGGAGCAGCCGCCTTCCTGCTCTCCTCAGGCCGCTCTGTGGACAAGCGAGCATCGGTCTCAGACTCCGCTCCGTCTCCACCGTGAGGAGGGAACTCCGCAGTTCTGCACCTGTCGCCACCTTAAAAGATCGGAGATGGCCGAGGCAGCTAGTTTGAGCAGACGTTGAAGTCGCTCCTCGCTGTTTTCTAAGCAATGCTTGGTTGTCAGATGGGAGCATGGGCGGTTTTCAAATTTCTATCTCCCTGACCTTTTTCGCCTCTTCTCCACACACTGGCGTTTACCTTCAACGGGCTAAATGTTTCGTTTGACTCCCGTCGTGGGTCAGTACTGTTCTCGGCCTGCAGGTTTCCTCGGGGAATAAAACACAAAGATCCCTTCCCCTCGTGGACCTTACATTTTATGCAGAGAATAAATAATAAGACGGTTATGTTACTTGGCATATGGTACCAACAAGAAATTTGAGCGAGATAAAAGGACATCAACGCAAGCCTGAAGAAAAACGAATTGCTCCATTTTAAGCCATAATCAGTTATACAGGAACACAACTTTGGGAAACAGTCTTCAAAAAAGCCTTGATGAGGGAGCTGGAGAGATGGCTCAGCAGTTAAGAGCACTGACTGTTCTTCCAGGGGTCCTGAGTTCAATTCCTGGCAACCACAGAAGGCTGTATATACAATAAATAAAATAAAGTTGCAGGGGTGTGATATTAAAAAAAGCCTTGATGAGCTCATATAGTCCCAGAAGATCACCCCCCAGCTTGCCCTTCAAGTTTTACTTCAGTTTGATAAAGCTATAAATTCAGCTTTGGCTCAAAGAGTCAGGAACAGAGTCAGTTTCAGGGGCTCTCTAAATACATACAGATTCTAAAATAATGTTTAGACTTTTGTTTTGAATGATGTTGAATTTAGAGAGGTGACAGAACTTATTAAAGTGGATAAAGTGAAAATTGTAGCCTGTGATGGTAAAAATACTGGCTCCAATACTACAGAATGAATAGAGAAATCCGGCTTTTTTTTTATGCCACCTTCTGTTATTTTCATGGCTTTTGAAGAAAAACATAGAAGAGACTTTTTCAAAAAAAATTTATTCTCACGGTGCAGAAATGACAACACTGTGCTATACTGTAACCCAAGGGTTCCACAGAGAGAAGCATGTGACTCTCTTCTCTTACATGACCTTTAGTACACAGCATAAAGAAATGTAACTTTTTTAAAATGACAAATCAAAAGTGGTTGCCTTCATACGAATATTCTTCAATAAACTTGTTCTAAAACTAAACTAAACCAAACTAAAATAGGTCTCTTCTCAGAGACTAGCAGGCCTTAAACTGCTGTGGATGACAGTGACCTTTTGCCTGAAGGCCGGGATTACAGCATGCAGGACCATGCTTGGTTTCTGTAGTGCTGGATGAAACTCAGATCTTCACACATGCTAGGCAAGCACTCTCCCGATACAGCCAAGAGAGTTGCTTGCATATACTTTCAGGCATGAATGCCAGAACATGGAGGAAAGTTCATTTCTAGGGAAGAGCTTATTATTTAGCCTCTCTGAAGTTACGGACACTAGCATGACATCATCACCATCATCAATGACTTCATAAGTGCATCAGGTCTGATTAAGGAGATGACACTGACATAGAAGAATGAAGAGTTAAATGTCCAAATTAAATTACAGGCTGAGGACTCAAGTGTGTTCAGAGCACTGAAATCCCTTTTGAGGGGGAAGGAGAGTCATTTATTTATAAGCATTTATTAGTAAAAGAATATGACTAAGCCAGGCATTAGTGGCGCATGCCTTTAATCTCAGCACTCAGGAGACAGAGGCATGCGGATCTCTGTGAGTTCGAGGCCAGCCTGGACTACAGAGCTAGTTCCAGGACAGCCTCCAAAACAATACAGAGAAACCCTGTCTTGAAAACAACAACAACAACAACAAAAAAAAAGAATATGACTAAACTCACTCATCAGATAGATTGCCTCAAGAACTGGTGGTTGGGATTAGGCAGTGTATTTGGGGGATCTTGGGATGGTTCAGGAGTGGGCACTGGTATCAGGGGAGACACTAAACAGTAAACACAGATGAGCTATAGAACCAGAGTAAGACATCTTTAAATTCCAGCAAGACGTATACAGTCATTAGGTTTCATTATGTGAAGATGAGACTGTGGGCATACAAACTTAGCTGGTATATCAGCCACACCATAAGGCTTCCAGATGCAATCAAGAGAGTAGATAAGCTGTGTGTGGCGAGGTATCTGTGAATCCTGCACTCAGGAGGCTGAGACAGGAAAACCTCCAAGCCAGACCTTTTCTTAGAGGAGGCAGGGGCTGATTTGATAAACATGAAATGAATGAGGTTGCTACCAGCATAAAACAGCATACTATTCTAGAGTAAACTTTCTAAGTAGGAGTATAGTCTGAAATGGTGGGCAAAGCTACGGAGTCATAAGGCATTTTATCATTTTCAAGTCTTGGGCACTGTCAGATGTATGTGCTATATTTTTGGAATAGGTTTGTTTACCCTGGCATCACTGCAAACATGTAAGTCATGCTCTGAAGGATGACATTACCACAATCAGTGTCACTGGATGATGGAAATTTTCAGTCTCCTTAAAACTCTATGAGATTATGTAATACATGTGAACTAATGCCACCATCATGTGCTTGCTATGCGACTATATTTAAAGTTTACAAAATAAAAATGTGTTGAAGATTAAAAATTTTTAATGTGGATGGAAGTTTTGTCTGCATAGATGTCTGTGCACTACATGCATAGCTGCTGCCTATGGAGATTCCCCTGGAACTGGAGTTATGAACAATAGTGAGCTGCCATATGGGTGCTGGGAACTGAAACTGTGTCCCCTGTAAGAGTAGTCAGTGCTTTTTACTGCTGAGACACTTCTGCAGCCCGAAAATTTTAAAATATTTTTGTTGAGAATTATATACATGCATACAATGTATTTTTGATCACTGCTCTTAACTGTAACCCACTCCTTCCCAACTTCATGTCCCTTTTTAAAAAAGTAATTAATCTAATTTGTGTTGCTCACATTTCATGGGCATGGGGCAGTCCACTGGAGCATGGTCAACCTACGAGGGGCTACACTCCTAAAGAAGACTGACTCTCCCTCCCCCAGAAGCTGTCAATTATCAATAGCTCCTCAGCTAGAGGTGAGGGATTGCAAGGCTCTCCCTCCTGCATGGAAGGGTTTTGATTGGGATACAGCATGAAAATACATTCTTTAAGGAAGGTTATACTGCATTATATAAAAACTGTGGATGAAGAGACAAGGAAGTAAGTTGGGATCATCTAGTAAAGATGCAGGCAAAAGGAATGGTAGAAAACCACAGGTGTTTATACATGGGTGATTGGAGTACATGGGGATTAAAACATATAGTCAATGGTCATTCAAGCTTTTGAATCTCAGTGGCTAAGGGTTATTTTTATTCACTCACTGACTTACTGAACATTGACTCTGTCACTCTTTTAAATGGTTTAAACATTAATTCATTTAAGCCCTTATTTGTATGTGTGCATACATGTACCATGGTACATGTGTTAAGGTCAGAGGACAGCCTGAGGGAGTTGGTTTTCTTCTTGTACCTTGTGGATCCCAGGGTCCAAACTCAGGTTGTCAGACTAGATGACATGTACCACTAAATATCTCTCTGGCCCACACCATGTGTTATTCTAAACTGAGGATATGAAAGTGGGTGAAAATTGATTTTTAATCTTCCTTCATGGAACTTTCTGAATGTAAGAGGCTGTTGGCAAACAGAAAGCAAATGATCCCATGCATTGTGGTGGGACAGAGTCCTTTACATGCCTATCCGAGGAAAACACTGATACTGCCTGAAGTGATTGACAGTTGTTCTAGAATAGGAAGGAATGTTCAGATAACAGACCAATCGAAAACTGTCAGGAAGGAGAGTAGGAGATTAAAGGCCAAAGAATGAATGAATGAAGTTGAAGAAGCAAGATAATCTCTTGGAGCTTTTGTCTATATAATAAGAGAAACGTGTGTATCTGTATTAGAGGTTTAAGAAACGGCAGGTTTGCATTCTGAAACAATCACTAAAATTGAGGAGAGGAGAACAGTTTGGAAAGTATCCAGGACAGACATGAATAGGCCAGTGGGATGCCTGCAGGAATCCATTTGAGGACAATAGGGACTAAGATGGCAGCAAGAGAGAGATAAAGAGATTTGAGAGGCATTAAGAGCATGGCAGCAAAAACAAGGATTAAAAGCATAGATGACAAAAGATAGCATTTAGTGGCAAGACTAAGAGCCCAAAAAGGAAACTGGAAATTCAAGACTTAAAGAATGACAGCTAAGTAACCAAGCACGTATGGAACATATACACCGACCTAGTCTGTTGGGTGGCAGAGAAAAAATGAGTATGACATAGTTCTTGACTTTAAGTATTTTTGCAATCTTATGTATAGAGATATCTTTATTCTACAAAACAATATTCCAGATGGTGCATGTAAAACAGAATGTTGCAGATGCTATGTTATAGATTTATATACTATGGGGAAAAAAAGACCAGGTTACTTAGATGAGTACTGTAGAGAAAAGCTTCAGAGAAGGAAGTGTTCAAGGTGCATTTTACTTTCAAAACCACAATTTGCTTTTCAAAATACAATCTTCATATTGGCCATTAGTTACTATTCTATTGCTGTAAGGAGACATCATGGCCAAGGCACTGTTTAAAAGAAAGCATTTGATTGGGGGCTTGCTTAGTTTCAGAGTGCATAGCAGCAGGCAGGCAGGCAGGGATGCATGGTGCTGGAACAGTAGCTGAGAGAGCACACATATGATTTGAAAATTTCAGGTAGAGAGAGAGCAAGACTGGGCCTGGCCTGGGCTTTTGAAACCTTAAAGTCTACCCTCAATGACATACCTCCTCCTCCAAGGCTACACCTAATCCTCCTCAAACAGTTCTAACAACCAGGTACCAAGCATTTAAATATATGAACCCACGGGGGCCATTCTCATTCAAATCACCCCAGCTATGCCTAGAGAAATTCCAGTGTTTCACCTTAGCTGGGGGTAGGAACAAGAGCATGGGTGTAACACGAAAAATAAAAACCCAGAGTCTGATACTGGTGTTCAAGCTTCAAGCTGAAGATCAGAAAAGCAAAGCAGTAAGGCCACTGGTTCTTACTTCTACCTCAGGCTGTAAAGGTTAAAGTCTCCAGGAGCTCTCCTCAAGCCTCAGACTCAACATGGCTGGAGACCAATCTCAGAATGCAGACTGAGACAATGAGCTCCTGTCTTTTATATACCTCTCTAGGGCTGAGATTAAAGGCATGAGTTCTAATTCTCTTAGACTGATTCAATCTTGTGTAGCTTTGGGTGTCCTTGGACTCACAGAGAGATCCATCTACCTCTATCTCCTGAGTCCTGGGATTAAGGGGGTGTGCTACCACTGCCTTATTTCTATAACTAGTGTGGCTAGCTTTGTACCCTGAACCCTCAGGAAAACTTTATTAAATTATAAATAATGTATCAGCATACAGAACTTGTAGGGGGAGTGCTGAGGTACAGTTCAGCAGGGGAGTACTTACCTTACATGTGGCCATGATTATGGGAAAGAAACAGTAGGACAGACGTCTGATGCATCCAGCCAGTTATGAAAGTTTTCTGTATAGTATCTATCCACTGACCAATATTGTGGACATGTAAGAACGAATGTAGAATTGTGCACAACTGATTTAACTTTGAATTTGGGGTGCTTCTGAACACTCAAAAAAGGTTGGGAGAGCAGTTGGGTACACAGATCTGAGACTCAGAAAACATCCTGATTTGTATAGTAGATGAGTTGAGGGGTCTGGGATGGAGTTCAGTAGTAGAACATTTATTTAGTAGGTCTAAGGTTGGGGACTCAAATCAGCACTCTAAAAACACATAAAACCTAAGACCAAACTATTCCTCAGTGCTATTCTGTCCTTTCGATTAAATATGTAACTGTTGATGCATGACCTCCTCTGACTGCTCCTCCCTTTACAGGGCTCTTATGGAGGCTGTGATGAACTAACAAGACTGACACAGGCCTAAAAGTAGATCTGTGTTCTCTAGGACAGTTTCTTTGGAGATTCTCTCAGCAAAACCCAAATTCTTCTATGGTAAGCTACTTAAATTTGGGGAAATTTTGTATACTGGCCATCCTGATTGTATATACTTATGATCATGTGTTTTTCCTTTGCCATTCCTAGCAACCTCTTTGAACACAGGTATCTTTTTAAATAATGTTTATTACAGTATGTTACTCTTCTATTTGGTTGCTAATATCTTATTGTGCCTGCTATATAAACTTTATCCTGGGCCTGAGTGATTAGGAAAAATCCTAGATTTTTTAGGTTTTCTCCTTAGGTTCTGGTACTGCATTTCAGCATCTACTGGGGGCTTAGGAGTACACATACTGCCTCTGCTGGGCATGCTTTCCCCTCAGTTCCCCTTAGTGCAGAGTCTGCTCCACCCATTAGTCACTCTGTAACTTTGGCATTGGACTTGACTCCCACAGGAGCCTCACCATCTAGCAAGCCGGGCCATGTGTCTTCCCCAGGGTCCTGGTGTGAGAATGATAAAGGAGCTTGTGTGACCCCTCCCTCTCGAAGGCAGGTCACAGTCTGAATGAAACACTGGTATTCTTTGGTGATTCTTTATTCAGTACTATGCTCTCTCCTGGAACATTTCCTAAGACATTAGTTCAATGACATCTTTAAAATTTTTCAATATATATGTATGTACATGTAGGTTTGTGTGTACATGTGTGGGAGTCAGAAGACAATCTCTGGTGTCTATCTTGCCTTGCATCTTTTTTGCTGCTGTTATACCATCGTGGTCAACAAGCTTCTGGGGATTCTCCTGTCTCTGCTTCTCATCTTCTTCACATAAGTGCTGGGATTACAGATGTGTGCTACTGCACCCAGCTCTTACACGGTTCTGGGCATTTGAAGTCAGGTCCTCATGAATGCATGGCAAGAACTCTTTACCCACTGAGCCATCTCCAGCTGTCAAAGACAGTTTTAATCATATACTTCTTACTCATAATAAATGAAGTGTTATTTCAGAGTATAAAACTTACAAATTGTTTCAAATGTCATTTTATTGCAAGATGGTATAACTAATTACAAGTTTAAACTATAACTTGGTAATTTTAGTTAGGGCAGCAAGTTGCTGCAAATTACTTATTCAAAAGTGATCACTAGCCAATTCCAGATATACAGCAAGGATCAGAAATACCTGACTGGCCAATAGAGTTAAGTCATTAAATGCATCTTGATCATTTCTCAGGAAAGGTACACTGGAATTTCAATAGACAGCAACACAGGAAGAGTTCTTCACATGGACTAGTTCCCATTTAAGTTAGCTCTCCCTGGCCATCTCAACTGAGATAGAAACATTCACATAACTGGCTGAGCGTGAGCCTTCTTTGCAAGCAGCTTTAGATCTGCAATGCACTTGGCAATGGTCTCCTTTTCCTGTGACAAGGAAAGAGAAATGTAGTTAGATCTCTCCAAAACAATACAGAGAAACCCTGTCTCGCAAAAACCAAAAATAAATAAATAAATATATATATATATGTATATATATAATAAAAATAAGTCTTAAGAAAATAATTACCAGTCTCTTTCCTATACAGTTTTGGGGTATTTTCTAAAGTAAGATAAACATTACAATCTATCAAATTCTGACAGACCTTGTCTTTCTTGATTTAAAAAAAAAAGATTTATTTCATTTTATGTGTATGAGTGTTTTGTCACTGGGGTAGGCTTTGAGGTTTCAAAAGCTCATGCCAGGCCCAGTCTTTTTCTCTGTTTTGTACTTGTGGCTCAGATGTAAGCTCTCGGCTACTGCTTGGTACCATGCCTGCCTGCCTGCCTGTTGCCTACCATGATGTTATGGATTCTACTACCCTCTGGAACACATACAACCCAGCCCCCAACATATTATTGCCAGGGTACCAGTCCAACCGTAGAAGCTACAAAAGGTCATGTACCTGCTGTGCAGAAATACTCTTCACCACATGCTTCTCCACCCAGTCTATCATGTGCTCTTCCTCCTTTCGACGCAACATGTCCTGTACAGAAATATGGTAGTCCAGGCGATTCTTTACCTCCCTATATGCTCTATGTAGCCGATCCCGGTAAGTGACTTCCAAGGCCAAGGCAATATTATTCTGAGGGCAAAAATTAAGACATGATTTGCATTTAATTAAGAAACGTTGCTGGGCAGTGGTGGCACATGCCTTTAACTCCAGGGGGATCTCTGTGAGTCTGAGGCCAGCCTGGGCTACAGAGTGAGTACTAGGATAGGCCCTAAAGCTACTGTCTCGAAAAACAAAAAGCAAAACAAAACAAACAACAACAAAAAGAAATGTTATTTGCACACATGAAGGAATATTTCTGTTTTGGGGGCTTTGCCAGCTAGCACACTCCATTTCTCATTTAGATGTTTATATGAAATTCTTTCAGTATGCAGGTAGTAAAACAGCATGTGGCAAATATTTGCATGGCACAGGCTACCATTTTCCTGCATTTCTCAATCTTTCCCAGAAATATCTAGCAAACTCAACAGAAACACACACATACACATATCACTTTCTTTATGTTATACCACCCAACTCAATTTTAAAGTACACTGGAGTCCATTATACTTGTGTTCCAGGACTCATTTACCCAAGATCTGCTAATAGGTTAGGCTGTGTCCACTCTTTTCTACTACAAGTAATGCCCCCCATATGATAATTTTATGTTTGAATGGTAGCTTATATTTATTCAGTAACTACTATGCTCTAAACATTCTTGTGTTTATGTCAATTTAGTGAAGTTTTATAAATACATCATGGGGTATCAGTGTATCTATTTTACAGAGAGAAACTGAGGCAGAAGTTGAACTTGCCAAGATTACAGAGGCAATACTGAATTTAAGATATGAACACATGCAATCCGGCTACAAAAACCTGTTAAGGATCTGTTCTTGGCTAACTCTTAAACCAATTTGAAAGTTATTGACAAAAAGGTTGCCAGGGTAACCCCTTAAAATATAAGTGAAACCACATCATTCCTCTGCTTACAACAACTTTTTCTTCTTCACCTTAGTCTTCCCAGAAACACGAATGACCCGACGTATTACAGACCTTGACTATGCTCTTTCTTCCTTCTTCCTTTCATTCTCTCACTCAACCTGACTTTAGCTCTTTAGCTACATTGGTAATCTGACCCCTTGATTACAGAAAACAACTTCTTGGGTGAGGGCTCTTGCAGTTTTCCCCTCTACCTGGGATCACTATTTCCCCAGAAAAACAACAAAACTTGACCATCACTTCTTTCAGGTCTCTGCTCAAATACCCCATCAGACATCTTTCCCAACTGCTACACACCAATTCCTCACTCCTGCAATGCATCTGCTTTAATATCAGTTTGCTATCTTCCTAAGCACTCTTTGACATTCATATCTACTCAACTATTCACTTTCTGATCTCCCAATGACTGGCTATAAAGTAGTGAAGCTGGGGGTGGGGTTAGGGGCTGCCGTGGCATTGGTCGGAGGCTAATTAACAATTAAAACTCCAGAAACGATGGTTAAGTTACAGGTTCAGACCCAAATCATCTTGGACTATTTTAGCCCCTAAATTTCCATTTATTATCCAATTTTACCCATGACCCGAGATCCTTGTGACTATTAGGTAAACATTTAGGAATGTACAGACCCCTGTCTCACCAACCCAAAGGCTAAGAATAATCATCAGTTTATATATATATATATATATATATATATATATATATATATATAGCAGAGATTTTCTTGCTTTGCTGTATCTTGCCTAATGTTTCCAGTGTGTTTTTGTATGTCTGAGTGTTTGGACTGCATGCATGTCAGTGTACTGTGTGCATCCAGAGAGAGCACTGGATCCCCTGGTACTGGAGTTACAGATGTAAGCCATTATGTGGGTGCTGAGAAGTGAACTTGGGTTCTCTACAAGAGGAGCAATTGCTCTTACTCCTGAGCCACCTCTCCAGTCCCTCCACCAATGTATTTGAAAAATGTCTTGATTTAAAATTTCCTTTGCTCTGTTACTAAACTGACACTATAGCGAACATAGCGTTTGGGATAATCTGAATCTATGTTCTAGGGTCATTCATATTTGGCTCCAGAATAAACCCTTTCATCCCTCTGAGGTGAGAACTGTCCTTTGTGTAGACAAAGTAAATACTATGAAGACATAAATTTTGTTTCTTGTGTTGTTTTCTTCATACCCCACCTTGACCACAGTATCCAGATTAAGAAAAACTCAGTAAGTATATTGCTCAGAGCAATCCTTTCTCTGCTTCCTGGGTGGCGGGTTACAGGTGGGAATCACCATACCAAGCTCTGCTTTAACATTTTCTGGAGTTTTTAAATATTCATGTGCTTAAGGAATCCTGTTAATAAGAGAGTAGCTTCTTAGTCTTCAAGAGACCTAACTTGATAGGGCTTGAAATGGGTCAGAAAAACGAGTGAGTGATGCAAGGGGTAATAAAACCTCACTGGCAATCAGTGGCCTAAATCCTTATTATTAGTATTTTAGGCACTTCATCTCAGTATTTTTATTGCATGCATGCTTCTCTTCAAAAAAAATATTTTTCAAACGAATGAATGGATTGCCTGCATGTATGGATATGTGTAATGCACATGCCTGGTGCCTGTAGAAATCAGAAAAGGGTGTGGAGTCACAGATGGTTGTGAATTACGATGAGGGTATTAGGAACTGAACCTGAGTTTTCTGAAAGAGCAATGCTCTTATCTGCTGAACCATCTCTCTAGCCCCACATGTGTGCATACATAATGTAAAATTTCAGTATGAAACATCTTACCTCTAAATATTTGGCATAAAATACTGGGTTCAAAGAAAACAATGACAAAATACTTGACATGTTCCTAATTTTAGAATCTCCTTGAGCGCTGGGCATGATTAAAAGTTCTACTGCTTCCTAGATAGGTTTTTTAAATGTATGTTAAGGATCGGATTATCTAACAGCAAATGTTAAGGTTTTCTTATTTGCAGGGTGGTGGTGGCACATGCCTTTTATTCCAGCATTCAGGAGGCAGAGGCAGGCGGATCTCTAAGAGTTTGAGGCCAGCCTGGTCTACAGAGAGAGTTCCAGGACAGCCAGAGCTGCTACACAGAGAAACCCTGTCTTGAAAAGAATCAAAAAGATTTTCTTATTCAAGTATGTATGAAATGCAGAGAATGCATTTCACTTTTGGCCTTTCTAAAAATCAGCCCTAACTAACTTATTTTCCTTTTGTATGGATTCAAAGTATTCTTTTACATCGTATACTGTTTCTAATTTTAGAACAATACTAAGTATTGTTTTCAACTAGCAGTTCTTAAATAGCTACATAATTGCAACTGATAACTTCTAGCCAAAACTTCATTTCTATATAAAATAAGACCCATCTTAAAAATTTGACCATTCCTCAAAATATTGAGATTTTTGGTAGTGGTAAGGCGTTCTTGCACACGGAAGGGGAAGTGGTCTAATGTTGAGCTACATTGCAGACACTAATGTTTTTGTCTTGTCTGTCACACCCATGAGTAACTTCACTATCCTTAGAAGTTACTGAAACCTACCCTCTGAACGTCAAAGAGGTAGTGGCGCTTCTGAACCAGTGCCTGCTGTGCCTTCTCCATGTCAATTGCATCCTGGATTTGTTTTATGGATGATTGCTTTACTTCCTCTAGTTGAGCAATTTTTTCCTGTAATTAGGATATTACAACGTCAGTAGAAGCAAAAATGGTACCAAAAAGATTCATCTGATGCTCTTTCAGTTTTAGGCTTCATTTTATAAAAATGACCACGAAGAAAGACATATGCAGAGAAACTCACAAATCTTCAAAAGCATTGTCTATATAAGAGTTACATATCACTAATGAAAAAGACCAAGGAAGGAGGGTGTAGGGTTAATTAAAACTAAAGCTGTATGAAAAAGCCATACAAAAACTTGCTATTCTATAAGCTAAGTAATATAATAATAATTATAATGATACAGCTTGAACAGAGGTACCCTACATAGGTGTATAATATTGCTCTTAGAAGCTATAGTTATTAAACAAAAATCCAGTGCCAGGTGTTAAATACTAAGTTGTTGGTCAGGAAGGCTCCAAGGGCCCCACTACAGTCTATTTCCATTGCTCTCGACTGAGCGCAAGAACAAGATAGTTAACGTCCTACTGCTGAAGATACTTTGGTTGCAGGACAGAGAAATCTAGCTTGAACTAAGATGGGAGCCTTTTCTCTGCTGGTTAGCTTTTATAATGACTGAAAGTTGGGTAGACTGCTGAGGAAGAAAAGTCATCAATATTTTTTTCCTAGATCTGAAACTTTCAAACTGTAACATCAACCTGTCAAGGAAAGTATGTCCAATGGTGCAGTAGTGTTTTGACTATTATGACAGCAGTAAACCATTTTCTAATTGGATTTGACATTTATAGTACAGGAAAGAATTTATGTATGATTCCATAAACAGTCAATATTTCATGGCTAAGAAGGATATAACATATTCTTGTTTTGTTAAATGAATACAGTGTCAAACTGCTTTCTGCATATTTATGTTATACCCATAGATTGGGGCAGTAATTTGAACTTTATATTAAAGCAGTAACTAACTGCAACATGACTGTAACCATGATAATTGTACCTATCGGTATTCTTTCCCCTCTAACATTCATATAGATAATAATTACAATAGATAACTGGGATATTTATGCCATAGTCTAAAGTGAAAAACAAAGCTTAAGACTCTTACCTCATTAAGTTTATCAAGAAATTCTCCAATAGAAGCACCATATTTCTTAATCACATAGACCATCAACCCTACTACTGATATGGTAGAGAAGGTCTCCGGGGTAATCACATATATTTCTTTGGATAGAAAATATAAGCTAAGCCCCGTTCCAAGCATGTAGGGTCCTAGAAGAACAAAGAGTTACCTTATATTTATGTTATGCCTAGTGTGCATTTGGTTACTTCAAGGCAAGGCTAAAAATGATAATCAGATTATACACATACGGTTTAAGCAGCACATAGAGCTGAAAGAAGATCTGGACTGAAGGAAATCTGTACTCTATAACCCATCAGAAACAGAAAAAAAAAAATCTGAACTTTGCTTCCTGAAAGGGGAAATAGCACCTTCTTCTCAGAGCTGATAAAACAATATAAAGTACTCAGCCCACAGGAACTGTTCTACAAAGACATCAAGCTGCTTTCTAAATTAGTCTGTCCAGGAACACACACTGATGACTGAATGGAAACAGACAGGACAGAACACTATTCTTTGCCCAAGTTTATAAGAGTTTTATACAAGACGCAAGAAACAAGAAAAAATAATTATTAAAAAATACATACATAAAAAGAATTAAGTTATCAGAATTCTCAACTTCTGTAGACAATTATAATACTTCTAAATACTTCCAATATAGTTACTTAAAAACAAAACACAACTAGGCTAAGAGTTTAGAAGGAAGAGGATCTAGGACACATACAGTTTTCTTTTTGGTTTTTCTAGGCAATGTTTCTCTGCATAGTCCTGGATGGAACTCAATTTGTAGATCATGCTGGCTTAGAACTCTGAGAGATCCACCTGCCTCTGCCTTCTGATTTGCAGGATTAAAGGAGAGCACCACCATCACCTGGCATTCTTTATAGATATTTTAAAAGTTACAATTTATGGGGTTGGAGCATTTGCCGTTTTTGCAGAGGGCCCAGGCCTAGCACTCACATGGCAGCTCACAACCTTTTGCAACTCCAGTTCCAGGAGATTCAATAGGTTTATCAAGACAGGGTTTCTTGTAGTTTTGGAGGCTGTCCTGGAACTAACTCTATAGTCCAGTGGGCTGGAACTCAGAGATGCACCTGCCTCTTGTTAAGACAAGTATAGAACCACACACACACTCCTCTAAGTCTCTACTACCTTATTTTTATTCATAGCTCCCTTTATTATCTGACAGTATTATATATTTGTACTAATTTGAAAAATTTTAATCCTTAATAAAATACATGTTCTGTAATAAGAGACACTTAAACTTAGCTCATTACTATACTGTTAGAACACGCCTAGAAGTAAATCAAAAGAAATTGGCATGATTAGTAGGTCAATAAATGAAAACAAAGCTATAAAATAAAATCCTGAAACAAAATTCATCTCAAATACAAGTTTTTTTTAAAAATATGGAATTGCTAACTAAAATTTCTTCTGAAAAAAAAAAAAGGACTTGATTTTAATGGTATCACTCAAATTACTCAAGACTGGGCAATGCTCACCTGTTACACCAGTTTTAGGGTAAAGGAACTGGAAAAATTCTTCAGGGATCAGCCCAAGACGTACTTTTCCTCCATATTCAGGAAGAGGCGGTACAGGGGCAAGACGTGGTTGTCCTGTGTGAAAGACCCTTGTTGCCTGTAATACCCTACAAGCAATCATACAAATTTAAAACCAGCTTTTCAGAGAAAACACAACGTACAATTAACAAAAGCAAAGAATAGGGATAAAGACAGGTGTTTCCTACTGTCATAATGGACAGAAAGCAGACCTGATATAGGAAGACTCTCAAACCCTCTACTGAAATCTTTGTGTAAGTCTATGGATCGTTTACAGAGGACTTGATATTTCAACTAGGAGCAATGAAACACAAGAGAGAGGACTACCGGATAGATGGCTTGAGTTGAAATCTTTGACCAACCACTAGGCTTTGAGAGAAGTTAAAAGTTTTTAAAAATTTCTTTCTACTCTTGCTTTTTGTTTTGTGTCTGCACGCATGCACACCACCACACACGAGGGTCAGAGGACAACTTGCAAGAGTTGTTTTTCTCTTTCCGCCACGATGGTTTGGGGAACCAGAACTCGGGTATACCTGTCAGGTTTAGAGGCAGGTATCTTGCTAAGCCTAGAACTTAAAGTCTGTGTAATCTCAGATTTCTTTATGTAAGGAATAAAACATATTACATGGCCATTGTGAAGACTGAGTTAACATATATAACATTCTTTTTTTTTTGTTTTGTTTTTACGAGACAGGGTTTCTCTGTATTGTTTTGGAGGCTGTTGGTCCAGCCCAGCCTCTAACTCACAGAGATCCACCTGCCTCTGCCCCCCGAGTGCTGGGATTAAAGGCGTGCGCCACCACCACCCGGCAATATATATAACATTCTTAAAATGGAACTTGTCTATAGTAGGGTTCCACATGAGTAGTTACCTAAATGTAAGCAACTTGATACTGCTGAGAGCATTGATTCTAAATATTCCCTTTGATGGCCTGCCTATCATTATGTGAAACAGGCCTTTTCAATTTGACAAGGTTATTCCAGTTGAAGTCTTCATTTTCTCTTTCTTAAATACTTTAAGAAATATTCCCCAAACCTGAAGGCTGTTCTTGCCAAATATTCCTTAAATGCAGCTCCTTTCATATTACTGCCAATGCTTCCAAAACATGAATCTGAGATGAAAACTTTTCAGCAGGCCCTCCTCTGTTTAAGAAAACAACAATACAGCACAGCCGAACTGTATCTTCATCTTTCTTTAGTACCTTGTCTCTACTCATATCAACTATAAACAGCTCTCAAAAAACAAACAAACAAACAAACAAACAAAAAACACCTGCAGCTTACATTGCTTTTGCTTGGTACGCCTTTTATTTAATGATTGACAGCCAAATGCAACCAGTCTTCCAGATACCTCAAAGACCACACTCTATGAAGACAAACTTCAACAAATGATGCTGGGAAAACTGGATATCCATGAGTGGAAGAATGAAACTAGATCCCTATCTCCCAGCCTGTACAAAAATCTATCCCAAGCCGGGTGTTGGTGGTGCACACCTTTAAATCCCAGCACTCGGGAGGCAGAGGCAGGCAGATCTCTGAGAGTTCGAGGCCAGCCTGGTCTACAGATCGAGTTCCAGGACAGCTTCCAAAACAATACAGAGAAACCCTGTCTCGAAAAACAAAAAACAAACAAACAAAATCTATTCCAAATGTAACAAAGCCGTAAACACAGGCAAGTACTGTCTCTGAGTGCTAATTTCTTAATAAATAACGCCAACAACTGACACGAAACACTATAAAATTACAAATCTTCACAGCAAAGAAAATAACTGAATGAAAAGACAGCTACAGAATGGGAGAAAATCTTTGGTAAGTACATCTAACAGAATTAGGAGCCATAAGACAAAAAACAAAAACTTCTCAGCCTCCCCCCAAAACAAAAACCCTAAACTATAAGAAATACAACTCAGTCAATAAATGAGCCAATAAAATGGATAATACTCAAGAGACACAGAGCAGCGACTCTTTGCAATGCACACTTGCAAGTAAAGACATATGGACAAAAGGGTAAACTGTGTGACTCACTGTGTCACACTCCAGATTCCGGGATGAGACTGACTTTTCCTTCTCTCTTTTTCTCTTAAATTTTATGTTTTGTTTTGGGGGGAAGTTGCAGGGGCAGAGGGCAGATACAAAGGGATAGGGAAATGAATGGAATGGAGACGCATGCTATGAAAGACACAAAGAATAAATAAAAAGTAAAGAAAAAACCAAAACAACAAAAAACAAACAAAAACCCTAACCCCCAAAACCCCCACCACATTGAGATTTCATCTCACTCCAGTTAGAACAGAAATCAACAAGTAACAAAAGCTGGTGAGGACATAAAGAAAAAGAGAAACATGATACACTGCTGGTGGGAATGTAAATTAGCCTAGCCATAGAAATCAACATGAAGCCCCCCCAAAAAAACCCAAATGATGACAGATCAGATGACTCAGCTAGACCACTCCTGTATATTTATGCTAAGGATTCCAAGTAAGCACATCACAGAAATACTTGTACTTATTGAAGCATTAGGCACAGTAGCTGAATTGTGGAAGCAATCTAGGTGTCTGCCAACAGAGGAATAGATAGAGGAAATTGTCTACAGGCACAATGAAATTTTATTCAAATATACAGAATGAGATTATGTTGTTTCCAGCAAAGTAGATATAATTGGAGAGTGTCATTAGACAAGTTCAGTAGCAGAAAGAGAAAAACATCATGTCTTCTTTCATTTGTGGATATTAGATTTTATATATACAAGAAATCATGTACACAACATGAAAGTAGAAGCCCAGTTATACAGAAGGATGAAGAGGACTAACGGGAAGAGGGAGAGAAAAAAGATAGTGGATGAGCATGGGGGGCACTGTTCTTTTTTTTTTCTTTTTTGGTTTTTTTTTTCGAGACAGGGTTTCTCTGTATTGTTTTGGAGGATGTCCTAGAACTCGATCTGTAGACCAGGCTGGCCTTGAATTCCCAGAGATCCTCCTGCCTTTGTCTCCCGAGTGCTGGGATTAAAGGCGTGTGCCACCGACACCCAGCTAGGGTGGCTATTCTTGTTCAAGATACATTACATACCTTTTAAAGGCTGGTACTGCACATATGACCATTAAAATGAACTTAGGGCTGAAAAGAAGGTTCAGCAGTCAAAGAGTGCTTGCTGCTCTTCCACAGACCAGAGTTTAGTTCCAGCACCTATGCTGGACTGCTCACCACCACCTTTCACTCCAGCTCCAGAGCCAACATCCTCTTCTTGCCTTTGCAAGCATTTGTGCAGATACACTTGTGTGCAAGCAAGTATGTGACGCGTGCACACATAAATAAAATTCTCAGAAAAAATGAGCCTGGCATTTTCTAGAAAAGTAGCAATGCTGGTAAGATTGGAACATAAAGCTAAATGTGGAAGGATGAGGAAGAACCAAGAGATAGATGGGTTGATTCAGGTTCAGTTTTCTAGGCCTTGCTAAGTTTGGATTTTATTTCAAGAGGAATATGAGCTCTGAAGGTTCTAAGCAGGTGACTGCCATACTCTCTCTGCAGCACTGAGAATGGGCTGTACTGGGACAAACAGACTAAAGGGCTAATGAAATTGCTCATTCAAAACCATTGGCTGCTCATGCCGTAATAATGGTAGTGGGTGTAGTCAAAGTATAACTTGAGAATGAGCCTTGTTGATACAAGATGTGACAGAGGAGAAATACAGGCTGCTTCTTGTGTCTTCTGTATGTAATTCACGTATCAATTGCTATAAGTTGTACCTGGCAGGGCCAAGGATCACACAAAGGGTACATTTCCAGCACACAGCTATTTTTCAGTGTTTGTATGGAGTGACTTTTCTGTAAGTTCAAAGCAATCAATTATAGTCTCACTTTATTGCACAGTAAGACATTTACACCAAAACGAGGACATGTTTTACAAGCATTCTGCAGTGATTAAAACTTTGAAAGCTTCATGATTAAGTTTGGAGTTAAAGTATTTCATACACACCCTGATACGTTCTAAAGAAAGGCATTTTAACTGCAACAGTGCCAACACTTCTGAGTACTCACAATGTACTAAGCGTGTTTTCTGAGTTATACCAGAATCAGGTCTCTCATATTTCATAATCCATAACATATGGCTCTAAGTGACGAGTCACAGCTAAGTGCAGGAGCCAGGTGTACCCATCTCTACCTTTGGAGTCTGTAAACTGTCACTGTCTTTCTCATTATGTGACCGTCAAGATAAACATTTACCAATTAATGAATGATTTCTGGCTCCTAATATGGCAACAGAAGACTGAAATCCTGGGGACACCCAAACAACACGCTTTATTCTGTTGTATTTAATCAGGTCTCTTCTTGGGTGTAATCGAGTAACTGATTCAGAGCTTTGTGTCGCTGAAGGTCACGGTGAGTTACTCTCTTTGGTGTTTTTCACAGGGGGATAGATAACGTTCAAGGCAATTGGAAGAACAAGCGTGTGAATGAGGATTCTGGCTCGCCGAAATGAAGGAAATAGGTAAGTCCTGGCTTAAAGCGAAGAGAAGGAAACCGAGTAATAAAACGCGGTGACACTTACCCTGGTCCCAGGACGGCCGCGTTCTTCAGACAGGGGGCTGCAAACACACAAGGCTCAGGTGAGCGAAGTCAAGGCGACACTCCGTTCCCACCTTCCTCGGTCTCAGTGAGACGCGATCCCTACGGCCCGTGCACCCTCCCTGACGTCCCCCGAGACCCTACACTGTCAGGCGGCTCCGCTCACTCCTCTGCTCAGGCCCAAACGTCGCTGTCCTTCCTTCACCCTCTTTCCGCCTCCCTGGGGCCCCAGGCTAAGCTTCTTCCCAGTATCCCCACAGGCCAGCCCGGGGTCTCCATCTCTCACCCGCTGTGGCGGCGGCAGAAAGTACCACCCGGGACAGCATGGCCTTGCTGAGGTCCAGACAGCGGTCTTCGCGTCCCTGTGACCGCGACCCGAGACTGTCAGGGGCAGGGACAAGATGGCCGCTCCAATCTCGCGAGAAAAGAGCCGAGTACTTTCTGTCCTGATCGATTTCTTTTTTTCTCGCGAGAAAAAAAAAAAAACAAACCCAAACTGAAATCCCGCTGCAGGAAGGGCAGACGGAAAGCGAGCTGGCGGTGTAGACGCAATTCTCGCGAGTGTAGCGTATCCCTTAGAGAGGGGCGGAGGCGCAGAGGTGCACCACGTGTGGGGCTCCGCCAGCGGGCAATCGGTATCGCTTAGTTGGGATCTAGCTTGAATTTGGAATCGTGGAGATGCGGAAGGAAGCCCCAACCCCACTCGTGCAGCCGGCGGCCCGCGAGTGGAACCTGCCCCCCAATGCACCCGCCTGCATGGAACGACAGTTGGAGGCTGCACGGTACCGGTCTGGTGAGCCGAGATCCCGGGCCTGGACGCCCCCTTCCCTAGCCCTGGGCGCCCTTTCCCGGTACTGACCCTGGCGAGTCCACCCAGCAACCCTGTGCCCTCCCGATCCCTGCCTGGCGTCTGGGGGCTGCCCAGCCCTGCCCCACAAACCTGATCTCAAACTCGGCTGCGTTGGGTTCTTTGCGGTTACCATAGAAACGAGCCGGGCCTTCCATCTGACACTTTGTAACTTCCCCATTATAGATGGTTCCCTTCTGCTCGGGGCTTCCAGTCTGAGCGGTCGCTGCTGGGCCGGCTCTCTCTGGTTTTTCAAGGATCCGAATGCGGCCCCCAACGAAGGCTTCTGCTCTGCGGGCGTCCAGACCGAAGCCGGAGTAGCTGACCTCACCTGGGTGGGAGACAAAGGTATCCTGGTGGCTTCTGATTCAGGTGAGTCATCTCCTCCCCTGGAACTGAAGATGTAGGTTGGGATGGGAAAAGGTGTTTTTTCCTCTTAAGATTTTAAACTGCCAGGTGGTCAATGCCCAGTAAATTCTCGCAAAAAAGGAAGAAATAGACTGTCATCTTCCTGTGGCCTCTGGCCAACCTAGACCAAAGAGAATGTTGATTAAAGAGGTGGTGCTGAAGACAGTCTTCCTGTTTATTTTTTTGAGACAGGCTCCCATAATGTTGCCCTGGCTGTCCCAGAAGTCACTATAAGTAGACCAGGCTGGCCTTGGGCACACAGAGACCTCCACCCTGTGCTGGGATAAAAGATATGTGCCACCATGCCTGACCTCCTGTTTTCTTTTGCTGTTGAGCTTATTCTGGAACTTGAACCCAGCCACCTTGCTAGGCTGCTGAGTGTCAGACTGAGCAATGTAGGGTTTGGTGTTAAAAAAGAAAAGAAAAAATGAAGTTTGGAGGGTGGGGGTGAATCTTGGGCATGTTAGGTGTGAATATGATCAAACTACATTGTGTGCACATATGAAATTCTCAAAGAACCAAACATATTAAAATCAAATAAAAATTACATTAAATAAAAGCTAGAATTTGGTGGGAGCTGGGTGTGGGTGCTGCCTCTCTGAGCAGAAGCAGCAGAGCTCTGTGAGTTGGAGGCCAGCCTGTTCTACATAGCTATCAGAGTTCCAGGACAGCCAAGGCTACATAGGGAAACCCTGTCTCATTGAAATAGAAACATGTATTTTGGACCTGGAAAGATTACCTGGTGGTTACAAGTGCTGATTGCTTTTCCAAAGGACCCAAGTTGGATTCCCAACACTCACATGCCACTAGCAACCATTTCTGACTACAGTTTTGGGGGAATTCAGTGGCCTTTTTTGGCCTTTATGGGCACTGAATGCATTTGGTGATTAGCCATGAAGGCAAAACACCTATACACTTAAAAATACCTCAAGTGTGTGTGTGTGTGTGTGTGTGTGTGTGTGTGTGTGTGTGTGTGTTGGTCTTTTGAGACAGGGTTTCTCTTTGTAGAATTCTGCAGACCAGGCTGGCCTCAGACTCACAGAAATCCGCCTGCCTCTGCCTCCAGAGCATTGGGATTAAAGATACGCACTGCCATGCCTGTTGTATGTCTGTCTTTATTCTTAAGTTAGGTAGGGCTTGGAAGTTGAGAAATAGGACATTGGAGATTTAGCCTCTCTGGCAGTCTTGAACATTAAAGTATTGCAAGGCATTTTTTCAAGCAGTCTAATCAAATATTTATTAGTGTCTGAACCACTGGAAAGAGATATCATCACTCTTTATCTTTGCCTCCCTGGGAACTAATCCCCCAGTGTCTTTTCTGTGGAAGCAAAATAATTGATTTTATATCGATTTCCCTGTCTTTTTCTAGGAGATTTTCTCACATAGTCATCTGGGCTGTTAGGAAAGCAGTAAGGTAACATAAAACTGAATGGCCTGGATGTGAGCTAAGCCCTTTAATGATGTGGTCTTTGCTTTTACAGGAACAACTTTTTGTTAGCTCTGTAACAATGCCTGCTTGAGTCCTAGGCATGAATTGCCACCCTGTTCTAACCCAGGCTTCTGCTTCCCTCACCCACACTTCACCCCACTCTGTCCTCAACAGGTGCTGTTGAATTGTGGGAGCTAGATGAGAATGAGACACTTATTGTCAGCAAGTTCTGCAAGTATGAGCATGATGACATTGTGTCTACTGTCACTGTCCTGAGCTCTGGCACACAAGCTGTCAGTGGTAGCAAAGACTTCTGGTGGGTTGCTGTTTTCATTACTCCCATCTCTAGGCTTCCTGTGGTTATCCTTACTATCCTCTTAATTTCATTAAGTAATGTTTTGGGCTATTTTTAGAGTCTAGTGAGTAATGGCATGTCTGTTTCCTTATTGGTAGTACATTATAAATAAGACAACAGGAGTCTAGGAGGCAGATATGGGACATGTTGGTCAAACATGTTCCTGTTTGAGTCCTTTTTTATGTTAATAGTACACGTCAAGATTCCTATTTCTTTTTTTGCATTGTAGCATCAAAATTTGGGACCTGACTCAGCAGATGTCACTGAATTCATACCGAGGTAAGTATTCCTTTTTGATTGATACTGGCTATAGTTATCTTTTATTTCCTCCCTTGGGATCTTTGAACTTTAGGTAAGTCTGTGTTCTCTTGGTTGACTTCTCTTTACCAGACTACAGTCAGGTTCCTTTATCTGCCACCTGTCTTTTCCTCTGTTCCTGTTTTTGTTGATGGTGTCACAGCCTTTTGACTACTTGGGTGTCTTAGTTTATTGCTATAGACCACCACCATGATCAAGGCAACTTGTAGGAAAAAGCTTTTAGTTGAAGGCTTGCTTACATTTTCAGTGGGTTAGTCCATGACCATCACTGTGAGGAGAATGGGGGCAAGCAGGCAGTCATGGTGCTTGAGCAGTAACTAAGTGCTTACATCCTAATTCACAAGTGTGTGGCAGAAAGTTAGCAAGACTGGGCATGGCATGGACTTTTGAAACCTCAAAGCCCACTCTGAGTGACACATCTCCAACAAGGCCACACATCCCAATCCTTCCGAAATAGTCCTTCAGTTGGGAGCCAAACATTTTAAACCAGAGTGGCCAACAAAGTCTATCTTCTTATACTCAGGGTTCATTGGGTTTTTGAGTCTCCATTTGGTCACTCCCCTTCCTGTCCATGTCTAACATGTTTACCATCAGGCTTTGTCAGTTGTCTCACTCATCTCTTTGCCTGTTTTCTGTGACTCTTGGTTCTTCATTTGTTTCTTGTATCCTGCAGAACAAGATTCCATTTTCTTGTCATCAAGCTTCATTATGACAGTAAACTGTGCACTAGCTTAATCCAGACACAGTAGAGCCTTGTCATTCTTAGAGGATAAGCCCTGGGACTTGTGTATGTGTGTGTATATGTGCATGTGTGCGGAGACCAAAGGTCAACGTTAGAGATACCTACTTTGTTTTTCAAGACTGATTCTCTCACTAGGACATGGAACTCACAGATGTGGCTGGGAGCCACAAGGGTTCACTTGTCTCTGCCTTCCCAGTGCTGGGATTACAAGCAAGAGCCACCATACTTTTTATGTGGATTCTGGGGTTGAATTCAGGTCTTCATGCTGTTATAGGAAACACTTTATTGATTGGGCCATTTCTACTGTCCAAGACTTTTGAATCCTAACTCTTTGAATTTTCACCTCTACAAAACATCTTTTCAGGGCATTTCATCACTTTCTTTAATATTGTTTTTGCTTTGCTTCATTAACAGAACTAGCAATTGCCTTTATTGTTGATAAATTTTGAATTTATGAAATGGATAGTGAGGATGGATGGAGGGAGGGAGGTTTAGTCCATAAGGCAGATGATGATGAGTACTCTAGGAGAGCTGGTTAAATGACCTCAGTGATGTCTTCAACCTCTAGCTAATTTTTAGCTGTGATTTTTTTTTCCACATGTAGACCTTCTAAAAGGATTTAAAAATAGTTCATGAAGAGATTTAAATAGGTCAAGTGAAATGATTTGGTGGGTAAAGGTACTTGCTGCCAAACCTGGAGACCTGTGTTTGATCTTCGGATTCCACTTGGTGGAAGAACAGAACTAACTCCTGCAAGCTATCCTCTGACCTCCGTGTATGCGCTGTGACAATGGGCACACATACACAATAAATGACTATTACTAAAAATTAGGTAGTTGACAAGAGGTTAATTTTTTTGGTCATATTTATTGTTACACATTTTTTTCTAAGCATGTGTTTACAGAAACTATTTACAAATAACCTGATGGCAAAAACCAATTTGTTCTGTTAGCAGCATTAGATTTCACTTTCTTTTATAAAAAGTCCAGCTTGGTTTATTAGTTCTGATAAGCTAATTGGTTATGTTCTTATGACAGCAATTTTATTTTTCATTTTTCACTGTTAGAAACAGAGAGGCAAGTCACAGAGCTGCCCTTGTATCTGTGGGGTGACTGAGACAGGTTCAGTCCCTTGTCTGTTCTCCTTTGAGAGCCTTGGGTGTTGAGGCTCTGAACGCTGGCCTGGGAAGACCTGGGCTGAAAGGGAGGTATGCATTCTAGCTGTAAAGTGGGAGAAGCATGACGGGAAAGCATATTAGAACACTCATATTGCTTAAAATGCAGCGCCAGAACTGTCTTTTTCTGTACAACTTAGAGGTCTGTATCTCCATTATGGAAACTGTTA